AAGTACCCTTGCGGGTCACACACACACTCAAACCGACAAGCACTCAGACAGGCATGCAGACCAGTAAGCACGCACACACTCAGACTTAGAAAGCTCAGCAACAAGCAAGAAACTCAGCAATGGATGCATTCCATTGGCAAATCTCAGAAGTCAGCTGTGTGTCTAAGTCCGTGTTTGGCAGGTGCTCACAGGCACTAAAATGAAGGTCAGGTCCCTGTGGTGCTATGTTTGTGCTTGGAAAGCATGAGTTTTTTATTTTTTCACAGAAAACTTGGGACCTTTTTTTAATCTGTGTGTCATCCTTTTGCAGGGGTCATTCTAAACTTCTCTGTATCATTCCAATTTTAACGGACATCCACGAATCTTGATCATAACCATGGCCAGGTTTCGACAATCATCATGATGCTAATGCTAAAGCAGATGGGTCGCAGAATAAGTGTTGCAACTCCTTCCTCCCCCCCCACAAGGGGTGTGTAACACATTGCAAAGTATATCAGAATTCAGAAGACAATGACAGATCATAAATGCGCTGAAGCTCGCACCAAATAGTTTCTGAACAACATACGTTTGGGGCATCTGGTCCCGCCGTGCACGCACGGCCTCGAACCAGCACCTCAGCCTCAAGAATGAAGTCTTTTAACCACTACAACCCTTGGAGGTGTTAAAAAAAACTGGATCCATACTGGTCGTGATATCCAGCCCACCTCCAGGGCTGTAGCACTCTTGAACTCACACCACACACACAACACAATACCATGGACACGGCAATCAACACAATCCACTCGGACAACACGCAGCCCCACCACCGCTACTTTACCTGGTCGCTCCAAGGCGGATCAACTGCCCGCGGGTTCCACAGGCGCCCTCACCGTAGTTACTGAACAACATGAGTTTAGAGCGTCGGGCCCTGCCGTGCACGCATGGCCTCGAAACAGCACTCTCAGCCTCGAGATCAAGTCTCGTAACGACTACAACCCTTGGAGGTGTTAAAAAAAACTGGATCCATACCGGTCGTGATATCCAGCCCACCTCCAGGGCTATAGCAACCTTGAACTCAGACCACACACACAACACAATGCGACGGACTCGCACCAAGAACACGCCTGTTCTGGAAATGCACATGCATTAAGAACCTGACGAAGGTCAAACTCACATTTGTATCCTTGTAAGGGAATCTGGCACTAATTGTGTTCACATTCATCAATGAAAGCTCCATGTGAGTATAGCCTAAGATGCCATGGATGATAAGCAAGGGCAAAGTTAAGGTTGGGATGTCCATACATGATGATATCAACTCACTTACCATAGCATCTCGTGACAAGTACCTGGGCGGCAGTGCTGGCAGAACCTTCCCTCCTTGCAGTTCTGTAACTTTCTTTTCCAACACCTCGGTTACATTTTGTCTGGCTTGAGAGTTGGAAAGATCGACACTTGTCCATCCAAAGTGGCCATTCGGGTCCAGCTCATTTCGTATGCTATCGATTCGCGCGTTGAGCAGCTTCTCATTGATGCCCATGCTCATGGACAGGTTGAATTTTGAGTTGAAAAGAATGACCACCTCCTTCTTCCTCTTTCTGGCCAGGTCAAGGAGACTTTTCTCCCAAACCATTTCCTCAGGCTTCACCACTGTGGCTCGACCACCTGTTTGCAACAGCCAGATAACACCTCTCCAATTTAGCAAGCCAGCATAGCCGACAACATGAGATTCTTTTTTTTTCGTCCAGATTTCCCGGACAATCAGAAAAGGATCAGGGACACATCTTTTCTGGGGTAGATGTGATTGTTTTGCACCTGTCAAATGGAACCCAAAATCCAACTTTGTTGGTAAAAAGCGTGTGTGCGCTCATATGGACCTTCTGAAGGGTTACAGAGGGTGAAGAGGGTTAAAGGGGGTGCATTATCACACACAAAATTTCTCTTTTTCCCTTTTTTATATTCCCTTCTCCATAATCTTCCTCTTTGCCTCAGGACACTCTCCTTCTGGCACCACGTCCTCCTCCTTCTCACCACCCAACTTCACTACAGTGTTGGTCTTCTTCCACAGTGCAGCATGCGTAACGCTGGTCTGTTTCTGGATGCTACCATCTTCGCCCGAATAGAACACCCCGTCATTATAGCTGTATCCAGAACTGAAATTGCCCCCAAATACAGCTACAATGACCAGGTGTTTTATTTGCGTGAAGACGGTAGCGTGAGGAATCAGCCTCGCGGAGCCCTTATCAGACATACAAGTGTTCTGGGCGGTAGCCCCCAGCAAGCCTCGTGTCCCTAAGTGAAGGCGGGCCTGAATATCCAGGTGAGGCCTGTTTTCGACAATTTTTCCATATGTGGGTACTCAGACAGTTGCAGCACGCCAGTTGGTTACAGAGCAACGTGAAGCTCCAGGCTCTTTCCAGAAGCAAAGGGCTGCGCTGTACAGTTGAGCCCAGGGCTCGGGTGGTTGCGCCCTGGGCACATGCTGTGTGAGGCCCGCACATCACAGAGAGTAGTTACGGGCCAATGAGGAAACAGCATTGTCGTTACATATGGCATTGAGCCAATGAGAAGGCTGCAAACACTTGAAGGCTGGGAGGCTGCCTGGACGTGCTTAACAGCATCAGGCCCAGTCCAGTTTCGAAAACTGGGCCTGTGGGCAGACAACTGGGGCCCAACTGAAGCTACGGGGCCCCCCCCACACCTGGCCAGGACAGCCAGCAACGGCACACTTCCCACAAAGGAAAGTGTGAGCCCCTGGGAGGAACATTCTGGCCTTGGCAGGCAATGCAGACATGCGCGCTCTGCT